CCTCCTCACCCCGTGACGACTGTTCAAATCTTCAGATTCTACACACAGCCATGTCAGATCAGTGCTGCTGCAGTCGTGTCACAGTCGTGTCACATGACTGACACGGGGCTCAGGAGCAAGGCACACATCAGTCCAACACACGTGGAAACAAACGTCAACAAACACATCACCGCAGCTGGAGCCCCCCGGAGGACGGAGGACAAACATTTGACAACGAATCCACTTCCACCTGTCATTTCTGTCTTCACGACAAAAAAAAAAACAAAAAACACTGCTGCAATTAAAGCCCCCCCCCCAAACACAAAATCAATACTCAAATCATGGAGGGAAAAGCTAAAGCTACGCTTCCTACAATAACCCAGTCCGGAGAAACAATTTTAAGTAATTGTCCTGCCAAATGTCAAAAACGATTTCGATCCAGACCAAAGGCCTCGATTGATCGCCGTTCTGCCGCGGGGTTTTCAGCTCTCGCAAAATGTTTCGTCCCATCGGCCCACAATCCTCACATTGTTCCACAGACCGAGGCTGGGGGACGGGGACTACAGGCGTCCTCGTCGAGTGGGGGGCGGGCGGGGGGGTTACTTTCTCTGTATTACTGGGTCTTTGTATTCTGGGTTATCTTTGTTTGTTTAAAAAAAAAAACAAAATCACAGGGCGTCGTTTTTGTGTTAAATATACTTTAAATTATTATTATCTTTTACCTCTTTGTTATATTTCTAAAATATGTTCTATATATATTTCGTTAACATTGTTTTTAAAAAAAAAAACTCTCAAGGTCACATAAAAAACAAACAAATTTACAAAAAACAAAACACAAAAATCAGCCACAACTCCAACATTTCTGACCCTGACGACGACGACAGATGTGACATAAACTCCACCCGTCGTCTTCCTCCTCCTCCTCTTCCTCTTCCTCCTCCTCTTCCTCCTCCTCCTCTTCTTCCTCCACTCAGCACCGCTCTTTAAAAAACTCACAGGTACTGTAATAATGATCAGTGTGACGCTGAAGGGCGCTGGGTCGGGAGAAAGGAACGCTCGCCTCTAAAAGGCACGGCGTTCAGCCTAAAATACAGCGGCTGACTCAACCTGCTGGCTGACAAAGCAGGGAGCACAGAGGTCACGCTAACCCAGAGCCACGTCTCACTACCTGGACTCAGACGTCCGTCCGTCCGTCCTCTATTTCTGTCTATTGCAGACGACTGCAATCGTCCACTGCTGCCCTACGCCGTCACAGCTTCGTCAACGGGAAATAACACAAATGACTCATTTAGTCCAAAAAAAAAAAAAAAAATCTGCTCAATAAGGAACTGATGTTCCACAAAACCACAGTTTAAATCCCAGCTTGTTTGTTAACCAGCTCATTTGTAGGGCAGTTGAAATATATATGAATATATATTATATATATTTCAAATGAAAACACATTAAAAGTCAGTGACGTCTCCACAGGACGTCGCCCCCCTCTGGTGTCTGAGTTTGCAGCTTGAACCAGTGACCTCAGGTACAACGGCATGTAAATCCACACGTGGGGGACGTGTCCCGAGTTATGCATAAAGTCAAGTATTAGTGTGTGAATATTTTCCTGCGTGTACTACTTCCTGTTGTACTGTGATTTCATCAGTTCATACACAGAACCACTGCCTCATGTTACCACCCCTTCAAAAAAAAAAAAAATCCTGGACCCCTTTTTTACTGGTATGTGTGTGTGTGTGTGTGTGTGAGGAGTGTTCCTGGTAAAGCTACTTGTGGAGACAATAGTATTTTAATGGGCGCCCTCTGTCCTTGTGGGGACATTTTGGAGGTGCTGGGTGAGGGAGAGGGTATTTTTGAGGTTCAAGATTTAGTTTGGAGTTAGGATTATAATTAGGCTCAGATTAGGATTAGATTAGGATTAGATTAAGGGCAATATAGGCATATATATTTGTTATCGTTAAGGTGAGGGTGAGGGTGGGGGGGGGTGGCTAGACCTGCGGACCGTGTCCGTGTGGAGTGTCTGTGTGTCTGTGTGTGTCTGTGTGTGTGTGTGTGTGTCCGTGGGAAGAACTTACCTATTCGAATAACATGAGGCATCCCGTAAGTGTACTGAATCCAGGAGAGACACGCAATTAGACATGTCCAATATTTCCAAATCACACTCCGGGGAGACGCCGGCCAAGTGTTCCTCATGGCTGGAAAGTCGCTGGATCCACTTTCTGTGTTTTTTTGTTTTTTAATTCCAAAGGCGACTCTAAAGTCGACGGAGCAGACGTGGCTTTTGGATGACGTGCGACAAACCGGCGCTCATTGTACTTGCGGTGACATTCTCCCAGAATTGAGTTCTTTGTTTTTTTGTTGTTGTTGTTTTTTTTCCTCTTCTTTTTTCCCCTCCAAGGAGTCAAGTGGACTCGGTCAGGGCGACGCCGCGTGTCCTTCACGGGCTGATCAGCGAGGAGCGATGCACCTGCGAACGCAGGCTGCTACAATCAGCCTGCAGGAGCCTCAGTATCTCCCTCCTGCAGCCGCTGCTGGCTGTCTATTTGTGGGTGCAGCCGCCGGCACCACAGNNNGAGCCCCCGCAGCAGCAGAGGCGGATTCCTGCGGCTGCTCTTTTGCGCCGCTGTGGAACAGAACTGCGCCTGCGGACCGTGGACCGAAATAAATGTGTCCAAAAAATGAAAAAATAAATAAAATAAAATTACAAAAACAAACAACAAAAAAACGCCTTTTACTCGTCGACTTCGGAGGACCGTGAACACATCCACTCCACACACACACACACACTTGTCTCCCGCCTGTGCCTCAGTGTTCAGTCGGGTGAAGTCGACCTCCTCCTCGGTTGCGCGCAGCGACTGTGCGCTGCTGCTGCTGCTGTGTGTGTGTGTGGACCAACGTCGGGGTTTCGAACCAAAAAAAAAAAAACAACTCTCAGTTCGCGGCGGAGCCTAAAGAAACCCTCAGTTTAATCCTGGTGTGTGGAGGTGGAGGCGGCGAGTCTGACGAGGCTCCACGGTCCACGGCGGCAGTGAAGGCACGCGTCTTTACGCATAGCTGAGAGCCGTGTCCAGCTGCTGCTCCACGGAGATGAGAAGTAACGCCGATCCCTCCGTGCTCCATCAGCTGCTCTCCGCAGTGGCGTGCACACACATTTGGGAGCGCGAACGAAAAGAGGGGCGTCCTCTGTGTGGAGCAACTAAAAAAAAAAAAAAATTGGCAAAATTAGAACACGAGTTTAGGGGGTGGGGGAGGCGGGGGGGTGTCTGTTAGTGACAAATGGTTCAGTTTAAATAAATAGATGATGGGGTTTTTTAAGGAATGTTACTTTCAGAAGGGGGGGCGACATGGCTCCCATCAGGGCTCCTTCTATGGAGTTCTAATGTCCCCTTTTGGGGGGGCCCGGAGGAGGGGGGGGGGCCCAAACCCCAACCTGCAGGGTTTGGAGACACGTATCCAGTTGTCATTATTAATATTTTAATTAAGATATTTTACCTGTAAATGAAGAATAGATTTTTGACTTTTTTTTACTAATTTCACGTTTTTAAAAAGCTCCTTTATGTCTTTGTGGTAAAGATATATTATATAGAAATAAATGGTTGTTCTGTTTTTAACACTAATGTCTATCAGATTAGTGGAAAATGATTCCAATGTCGTGGGGCGGGGGCTCGCAAATGTAACGAATAAAAACGCCAGTGAGGGGCGTCGGCGTGGATGTAGAACAACATTAAGGGCCAGTAACTGACAGAGGTTTTCAACATGAGGTCTGCAACACCTCGGTGGGCTGCGGACTGGTACCAGCACTGTTTATTAAAGGATCATTCAGGATCAGTACATCTTCAAAATAAAATAATTTTTCTGGCTTTAGTCTATAATTATTGGAGTTTGAAAAACATTATTTTTCAAAACTTTGATTTGAAATAATTGAATGGAAATGACCAGAATCTCTGAGTAAAATATTTTTTTAATTTGACTGTGGGCCTGTCCAAATGACCCATGATCTGGTACTGGGCCGCGGACCAGGGGTTGGGTGACCCCTGCTCTAGCGGTCATATGAAACTTTTGGTCAATTAATGAGTTCAAACATATATATAAATATATATAAAAGCACTAACATATATCCACCATATTGAACAGGAAGTATGTTTATAAATGTCAGTGTCGTTTATGTTTAAAATAATATAAATACATGAAGTTGTATATTTTTGAAAAGTCATAATATTTCCTTTTTTTTAAAAAAAAGGTAAGTTCATAAACAGTAGCACTTTTTAAAAAAAAAAAAGGTAAGTTCATAAACATAATATTCACTTTTTTTAGAAAAAAAAAAAAAAGGTAAGTTCATAAACAGTAGGAGGAGCTGTCAAGTTTGTGAATGTTGGAACGTGAAGTTCCTAAGGTTCCTAAGGTGAGGTTCTCCTTCTGTCCCGTCGTGTTTGTTTCTAAGAGTCCTTAAAAAACATTTAATGACTAAAGCAGTGATTTTTCCTCCAGATTGAAAATGACTTATTAAGTTTAATCTGAAAAACAATATGCTGCTGCATTATTTCTGCCTAATAGAAGGCTCTTGATGAGATACCGCCGCGGCTCATTGGTTTTATTTTTCTGTTTGTAATGTGAGAGTGGAATAAAGTGAGCATCAGGGGGCGCACAAGCAAGAACCAGCCAGACTGACTGCCACTGCATATTCATGTATCTCCCCGTAGATTTATTGCCTTTTGGCACGACGTTAGGACTATCAGTGTGAGTTATGTGGCCCGGCTCTCGCATTATCAAGATTTATTGGCTCGCTGCTCTTTCAAACACAAAATGTACACAGCTCCAGCAAACAAGACATCCCGGGTCTGTGGGCGCCCCCTATATGGAGACGGTGACCTATGCTTTCAATCACCTGGACTGATAACTGGAGGGTCAGGCCCACGAGCAACGGCCGATCTCCCGATGCGGCGCTCAGACGGACGCGCAGCTGCGTCTCACTTCATCTTCTGCATTTTAAATCTGCAGCAGAGTGCACTCACACACACTTCCTTTTTTTTTTTTTTTTTTTTTGTGCTCCGTGCAGCAGGAGATCAATTTTGATGCCAGCGTCACTCTTGTCTCGTTGCTCCTCCCCGTCGTTGTTAGAAGACGTGAAGGGAAGACGTTATGTCACAACGTCTCCTGTTATAACAACAAACAGTGGCGACGAGCGCCGGCAGTTGATTCGCAGAGACGTGGAGCCGCGAGGAGGACGATTGGAAGAGAACAGGACGACGTCGGTGTTCACAGTGTGTTAGCGCAAAGACCAGAGACGTATTTAGGTCTGTAGACACTCCAAAGACCACAGGTACTGGTCTGGTACTGGTACTGGTACTGGTCTGGTACTGGTCCTGGTACTGGTACTGTTAGCCTAGTCTTCAGTGGTACAGATGTTTTCAGCTGCACTTCTTCACCTAAACATAATCTTGGGATTAGCAAAAGGAGCTAATGCGCTGCAGGCTGATAGGGTTCTAGCCCGACCTTTTCTCCACCTTTACACTGGTCTCTGACAGAGAAGACGTTCACTGAGGGCCAACTATGAAAGTGAAAGTGAAAGTAAGTGTATTGGGACGGTACCATGCTCAGTGGTGGATTTGAACCTGCGACCTTCTGGACAAAAGTCTGCCTTCTTAACCACCACTGCCCCATACGTAAATATGAATTCTACGAACAATAAAAATAAAAAGTGAGAAATCGAGAACATTTCTCACCTTCAAAAAGAACAATAAAAATAAAAGGTGAAAAATCAAGAACATTTCTCACCAATATATTTAAAGAGAACGTAAAACGTAAAAGAGTATGTGGTCACTCTGGGAATCGAACCCAGGAAACACTGCTCTCTACTTGAAAGACAGCCGTGCTAACAGAACCAAGCTAACAGCTAAGTTTTATAAACACAAACAAACACCAACTGCACCAGACGTCCCTTGTCTTTATGTGTTGTTTATATTATAATAAATGATCTTTTTTTTTCATTACCATTTCAAAGTGCTGTTTATTTATAAAAACAAAGTTCCCTGAGGCCAAACATGGAATATTCCGTTCAGATTTGATGGAGATCCCTGAAAATAGTTTTCCCCTCAGTTTGGTTCAGACTTTTGAGTAACGTTG